ATTAACCTATTTATTACTTCTAACAAGTTTTATAATACTTTTTGTTGATGATCATCTAACTTTGTGGTTTCGTCTTTAAATGTAGGTTTGACGACAACAAGGTGAGGAATGCGATCTCCGAAACGCTAACCGGGTACTATCGACAGCCTTGGAAGAACTACGACGAGGTGGACCAAGCAACGAAGCAACACTGGTGGAACTTATTCAGCGTAAGCTATTTTAAACTTAATTAATATATGTTTTATGAAAAGTATGAGATGAAGTTGAGTATATGACTTATGAAGTTTATCATTTGCAGAGAGAATTCACATGGGCACCTCAATTGACCAAGGATGTGAAGCACACTTTTGAAAACAAGTTTGCTACTCGGCTACGTGACATGTTCTACACAGTCACGCACAAGGTGAGAGGCGCCAAGCCAGGCTGGCTCAGTGAGGACGTCCACAAGAAAAAGCTGGATATTATTGCTAATGATCCAACCTACAAGAAGAGGTCGGCCCAGAACAAGAAGAACAGGAGGGGCGGTTCAATGGAAAATGCGGTTAAAGCTACCCACTATCAAGGTTCGATGTCAGCTGTACAACATGCTAAACGGATGGTAAGTTTGTTGAATATGCAGGTAAAATAGAAGAGAATTGTGTATTACTATGTAAAAGGTGCTCTAACATTAATAGTTTATCATTTTCTACATGTATAATCAAAGGCGGCGAAGAATAAAGGCCAGCTCCCAACAACACATGAGCTTTTTCTGAAGACGCACTTCAAGGAAGTTCCTTGGAAAGGCACAGTACCAGCCAACAGCAAAGCACAACATATTGCGGTAATAACTTCAATAACACTTAGGATTTGAACTTATTTGATTGATTTCATGAATTACTTTCCAAATGGTTCTCAAAAGTTAGGGAGTTGTTTTGTTTTTGTGAATTCAAGGCATATCCACCTAAAACTACCTATAATATGCATGTTATGAGAAAGAAATGCTTCATTTGGTTAGAATTGAAGAAAATAGGCAAATAATAGGTCATATAGGGGTCTATTGGTTGAATTTGGGTCCAAATCGTTCCCAAAGCTTGGGGAGTTGGTTTTTTTTTTCTGTGATTTCAAGGCATGTACATCTAAAACTACCTGTAATAGACATTTTATGACAAAGAAATGGTTCATTTGATAAGAAATTTAGAAAATAGGCAAAGAATATGTCATATAGGCCTCAGTTGTTCTATTTTGGTCCAAATCATTCCCAAAACTTAGGGAGTTGGTTTTTTTTTGTGATTTCAAGGCATGTAAATCTAAAACTACCTATATTAGACATGTTATGACGAAGAAATGGTTCGTTTGGTAAGAAATGTAGATAATGGGCAAGGAATAGAACGTATAGGCCTCAGTTGGTTGAATTTGGGTCCAAATCGTTCCCAAAACTTAGGGAGCTGGTTTTTTTTTTGTGATTTCAGGGAATTTACATCTAAAACTACCTATAATAAACATGTTATGACAAAGAAATGGTTCATTTGGTAAGAAATGTAGAAAATAGGTAAAGAATAGGCCATATAAGCCTCAGTTAGTTTTATTTTGGTCCAAATCGTTCCCAAAACTTAGGGAGTTGGTTTTTTTTTTTGTGATTTCAAGGCATTTACATCTAAAAATACCTATGGTAGACATGTTATGACAAAGAAATGGTTCATTTTGTAAGAAATGTAGATAATGGGCAAAGAATAGGTCGTATAGGCCTCAATTGGTTGAATTTGGGTCCAAATCGTTCCCAAAACTTAGGGAGTTGGCTTTTTTTTGTGATTTCAAGGCATGTACATCTAAAACTACCTATAGTAGACATGTTATGACAAAGAAATGGTTCATTTGGTAAGAAATGTAGAAAATAGGCAAAGAATAGGTCATATAGGCCTCAGTTGGTTCTATTCGGGTCCAAATCGTTCCCAAAACTTAGGGAGTTGGTTTTTTGTTTGTGATTTCAAGGCATGTATATCTAAAACTACCTATAATAGACATGTTATGACAAAGAAATGGTTCATTTGGTAAGAAATGTAGATAATGGGCAAAGAATAGGTCGTATAGGCCTTAGTTGGTTGTATTTTGTTCAGAGGTCTACCAGAAGAAAGTTGAAGAAGCAAGCACCCAAAGGATTCGAAAGAGTCCAAATGAGTTGTACTGGGAAATTATAGGTGGTCGCAACAAGAAGGGTCGTGTGAAGGGACTTGGCCAAGGTGCAGAAGTCTTCCCAGCAGTACACGTCTTCCTTTCTTTCCCAGATGCAGGATCAGGTGGACCAGAGGGTGGACTAGAGGTTGGAGGAGAGGGTGCAAGTGAAATGGAAGTCGAGATGGAGACTAGATTGGCCGAAATAGAAAGGAGAAACCAAGAGAGGTATGAAGAGATGATGCGTCGATTCTCCAGCAACGACCCATGTTCCAACAATCCACATCAGCGTCGAGACCCCACGAACGACCCGGGTAGCGGCGGTGCAGGGCAAGGTACTCCGGTTGTAGCTTAAAATTTGTGTATATAGTATGTATATGTATTTAGATTTAGATTATGTTGTATAGTTGCACACAATGTATACATTATTATAAATAAATATATAAAAATATTTTCGTAATTAAATCATAAATTCAAATTTATCTTAAATTAGGTGCAGGATATATAGATGACGAAATCCAAATTAAAGCGTTTAATTTGTTAAATGAACAGGGCTAATTCCGACGGAAAAATCCGTTGAAAGCACTTACTTTCCGACGGAATTTTTCGTCGGAATCTTCTCCTCTTCCGACGGAATTGTTCGTCGTAATGTCCCCCACTTCCGACGGAAATTTTCGTCGGAAGAGGGGATATTCCGACGAAAAATTCCGTTGGAAGGGAGGCTTTTCCGACGGAAAACGTTTCGTTAGAAAATTACGACGGACTCCCGTTTAAAGTCAAATCCATCTCCGACAGAACGCATTCTGTCGGAATTTCCGTCGGAAAAAGGGCTTCCGACGGAATTTCCCTCGAAAAACGTCCAGTTTCCTACGAAGGGTTTTGCGACAGACCTATTTCGACAGAATTCCGTCGGAAGCCCTTTTTCCGACGGATTTTTCGATGTTTTTGACGGAATTTAGTTGTTTTCTTGTAGTGGGCATAACTGACACCAATCTCTGCTCCCAAAGGAGGTATATTACCCATTGAAGAGGTTAATGGGTTGGTAGTAACAGGTGGAGGCAAGGACAAAGAAGATGGATCTTGGCCATTATGGTTATAGCCTGACTTATAACCTGGCCCTGAACCATTAATTCTCCCTTGACTCCGATACCCCTCATCAGAATCAATAGGAGGGATGCTTCTTGGACCTGATAGAGGGGGCGGATTTGCATGAGATCTAGCCACAGTTTCTACTTTAGGGTATCCTAGAGGGACATTCTCCCTTTGATTTACTTCAGTAATCCCACTACCTAAAAAGGTTAGAACATTCATCAACTTTTCATTAAGTTGGTTATGTTTCTCCACTAAAGGTTCAAGTCTTGTAACTAATTCGGTTGCTACACTCTTTGATAATGCCACGTTAGTAGCGTTTAGAGTATCATTTATATCTAAAATTATTCTATCACTTGTCTGATAACCGCTCGTTGAGTGATAGAGTTAAAGTTCCTTAACTCACCAGTTACCACTTTGGCGGTTTCTTCTACCATGACACGATAGTAGTTATTAAACTACTCTCTATTGTTTTCCTTTAGATCTTCCATCAGACTCTTTACAATATCCTCGTATTTAGTGTAAATTGTATTGAGGAGATTTCTGGTGGGAGGACTGCCTTCCATCCCTTCTAAAACCAATTCATCTTGCCTCTGAGTATGAGGCTCGAATGATTCAGATAAATATGTTATGTGTTCAGTTGGCAATTGATTTTCTAGATCTTGTTGGTCCTCTAAAATGGTCTCAGGATTGAGCTTAGATGAATTTTTTATCTTCCTGAGTGTTTCCTTTACTTGTTGAACGCTTAGGAGCTATGGGAAAAACTTCCAAATTAACAAGGTTAAATGGACTTAGTTTATTGTTCTCCCATTGTGGTCGCCAAAAAACTTGTTGAGGCAAATATTGTTCTTTGCCAACAAGTTAAATACTCTAGCTTGTTCTAGAGTATTAGGGGGTTGCCCCTCGAGTTACTGGTTTCAAAGATTGATAACGTTGTTAACGTAACAACACAAACAATAAGGAAGCTTTCCCAAAGAAAGTAAAACAAGTTAGGTTACTCAAAGAACTGAGTAGATAAACATATGACAAAAGATACAAATGCATTCCATTAATTAAAGGATAAAGTCAGGTCTGCAATTGCATAAGTTGAAGGAAATGTTACCTCCATGATCATACAATTGGAAAAGACGAACGATCTTCAATACATGCTAAGGGATAAACTAAACTATCACTTGGCTACTAAGCCAAGGGAAACTACGAAAGCTAAGAAAAAAGCTTAAAAGAAATGAAATGCTTGTTGTTGATTGATTTGCTGATGTCCTCCTTTGATCCTCACGCTTCTTATTTATAGGCGAAATGGAGCGGTTATGGCTGACTCCCATAACTGTTGCGCGGTTATGTTTCTTGGCGCCAACTCTATTCAAAATTTAAAATATCCATTTCCTTTAAACCACGACTTTCATCCATTGGGATTTCAAATGATATTAGCCCAATTCCTCTTATTTCTTTGCTAATTTAGCCTAAAGGTTTTTCACTGACTCTAAGACCCATTGTATTTGCTCAAAGTCAAGAAAGTCAATAAGAGTCAATAAAAAAAAGTCAAAAATCCGATTTTTCTAGCTCCTGTATCAACTAAAAAAAGTCAATAAGAGTCAATAAAAAAAGTCAACTAATATGAGGCTGTCTAAAGGGAGTCTTGATATGCATGAACAAATGCATATCAAGGGGCAAGAATGTAAATTCGTATGCTTTTTGAGCAGATGAGTGGAGATCTACCTCACTTCCCGTTTACTTTTTGTCAGGCCGTTTTCATAACTTTTCGTATTTCTTGAGTGTATTTGGGCGAGTATGGACTTTGGAGTAGTCTGGCTTGGTATTTTGTATTTGCGTCACATGCAATTAGATTAGTTTTACACTTTTACCTCACTCTCTCTCTCTCTTCCAGTTAGTTTTCTATCTCTGTCTTCCCTCTATCTTTCCTCAACCCCCTTGTCTCTCAATCTCTTTCTTCCAGTCAGTATACTCTCTCTTCCCTCTATCATCACCATCACTCTGAAGTAGTTTATCACCATCGTCGGTCGGTTCGTGCGTGGTTGGATTGTAGCTGGGTGGCTGGTTTTGGCGCGTGGAGAAACGAAGCAGTGTAGGCGAGGAATACTGAAGAATTTGAAGAAAGTAAGTAAATTCTTTTTAAATTTATAATTTTTCCCCCAAATTAATCAAACAATTTTAGGGTTGAAGTACTGTATCGTTTTCCCCAGATTGAGTTAGGGTTTTTATACTGCGGATGTATTAGGGTTTAAGGTGGGGCTTATTTATTTATTTTTTTTATTTTTTTTTATCTCAAATCAGAATTAGGGCTTAAGAATTATATACAACTTGATAATTCTAACGCCAATTACAATTTTCCCCAAATTTTGAGTTAGGGTTTCTATAATTGGGATGAAGTTGGGTCTTTGCAGTGTATTTTTATCACAAAACAATATTAGGGTATAAGAATTATATACAATTTGATTATTGTAACGGCAATTTATAATTTTCCCCAAATTGTGAGTTAGGGTTTTTATAATAGCAATGTATTTGGGTATAAGACGGGGCTTTAGGTGTTGTTAAAAATTCTTGCAATTTTATATTTTATTACTGAAACAATGTTAGGTAATTTTAAGCTCAATTTTGTTTGATTTAATTGAGCTTCTTGAAAGAAATCTCCCAAATTTTAATTATTTGAAAGGTGATTTAACTTCGTTTGATTTAATCATTATGAATTATAATCCGGATGAACAAGTGTGTTCCCCTTTTTTTGATTTAATTGAGCTTGTTTTGGTTTTGGAGTTATTTAATTGAAATTGAATCTGTGTGGAATATGATGTTCACAGTTACCTGAATTTGTGAAAAGCTGTGATATAGGAATTTGGACGAAAACCTTGGATAAAATGTCAGTGGTGCCGACCTTGAAGAATGTGGCCAAGATGATGTGCATGTTAAGGATTTCTTGCCTGCAATGAAAGTTGTTTGTGATAGACTTGAGCAAGCCGAAGGCAAGGTCTGCTCTATTTGAATTTGTGAATCTGAATAATTTTTGTGAAGGCATCTTTGAATTATTGGTCACCTAGTATTATTGATTGCAATGGTCACCTTATTTTTCAATGGCACTTTTTTTCCTTGAAGGTTCTCGTGGTCTCAGATATAAAACAGGAGCTTGGCTATCGAGAAACGAAAGGACAGAGCTTGGAGGTTTACTTTAGGGTTTGAAATCAGAGGATTGGATTAAGGTATATGAATCTTTGAATGATACTAGGAGATTGGCTACTTATCACTTTACTCTTTTGCTCCCATTGTTGTAAGTTTCTGAATTATAATTTTACTTATTAATTCATGGAAATTGCTGAATCTGTTTCTTAAAATAGTATTATAATGTATATATTGGGAACTCAGGGAACCGGTTGTTGTGGTGTTGGTGAAGGCTATGAAGAATCCAAGAAGTGCTTTGTGCAAGACATCTATTATGGCTGCTACTAATATTCTTGTTACTTATCATGATAAGTTGTTGGAACCTGATTTCTCTGGTGGTTTTAGTTTTGACAATTTGGTAAACTCTCGTTTATTAGTTCTTGCTCCTACTATGTGCATTTCTTCACAAGAATGGCTGAATTTTGTAGAGTTCAACCTTTTGTCATATGTTTTATCCATGTTATTCGTTGCCCGATGATCTAATTTTCCAATTTTAGATTAATTTGAGTGGTGTTTGGCCGACAAATAAGTATTGGTTGGGGAAAAAGATCGAGAACTTTATGAAAGACTTTGGGGCCTGTAATTATTTCTCCTTATATCTATGTTGGTGGTTCGTTGTCTTTATATCTTGTTCATGATGTTATTGGTCTTTCCTCTAGTAATGGTTTATTATCTATTGTTTGTTCTAGTTTAAACTTGTTTTCATATGAACGAACTTGTATTGGATCATTGCTTCTTTCGTTTCCCTTGTCTATTTATTTGGCTAGTTATGTATGTTTAGTTATGAAATTATTGTGTTTGATTTCATGAATTATTAGCTATTTGATATTTAGCTTAGTGATGGACACTGATCAGATTTCAAGGAAAGAGACACAATTCGTTTTTTAAATCACTTTGTTCTCGTTGGAACAGTTTGGAGGTCTGACTTCTCTGGGCTCATTCTCCTTTGTAACTCTTTTCAGGTGATTCTTTTTTTGAAATTGGATGATTTTTTGTCTACTCTTTGGCTGTAAAATTTCAGGTTTTTTTTTAGTTTGTTTGCTATTAAACTGGGTTGTCTTCTGAAAACTGGTTAATTGTTGTTCGATTTGGTGTATGCTTCTGTTTTAGTTCATTTTTCTTAGAGTTGTGCTGCGATTTTTGCTGGGATATTCATGCGTGGTTTAGGGTGTTTTAAGAGTGCTTTACTCATATAAATTGCATCCTTGCTACTGCTATACTCTGGTTTCTTGCTTTGTTTTGTGCACATATTTTGTGTGTATCGTAAAACATGGGTAAAGAAGCTATAAACAAACTGGAGGAAAGGTTGACTGATCAAGCGGAAGCTAGCTTTGATGCCATTGCTAAGTAGTTACAAGTTCGTAAAAGAAGAAAGAATGGAAAGATAATGATGATGAGTCTTTGCATATCTGAAGCAAGTGATAGACAAGTCTGGTTTTAAGTATTCAAGTTAGCAGATTTTTGAGAAATGGATATCTTGTTTTTTTGTTCTTGGAAGATGGAATGATTAATTTTAGTGTAGATACATGTACTGATATTATTACTCTTTGGAATTATAATTATAATTTATTTTTATTTTTTTTGAAAAATTGTAATTTTTTTTAAGATCAAAGTGTAATATTGCAGTTTATTGATATTTATTAATGAAAATTTCTAACATTCTAAGTTTATATATATGTAAGTCTTTGAGTATCAATTTAAGGAAAAAAATTGCAGAATATACTATAGTGGTTGACAGGCTTCATTTCATCTTTTTTTTAAATAAAAAATATAGAAGGCTACGATTTTTTCAATAAACCGGAGCAAAAAACTTGACAAGGCTACAGTTCTGAACCGTAGCAAATAGTTTTCCTTATTCACTATGCCGACTAATTCTATGGTTCAGAACCGTAGCAAATACCCCTAAAAGAACCAGAGCAAATGTCATTTTTTTCTACTAGTGGCTTATCCGTTTTGAACAAAAGCAAATTTATGTCCTGAATTACCTAATTCATCATTCAACAGATTAGATGGCTCTGATGGGCGTCCATTAGGTTTAGCATCTATTCAAGAGCCAACTCATGGTGCAAGCTCCCAAGAGTAAGGTCAGGGCATTGTTAGCATATATTTCAGTGGTACATTTTTAAAACCCAGTTTGACTAATGTCGCTTTTAGTAGTATACCTCTGAAATCCAATTCTTAAGAATACACAAGAAGTACCATGTATTGTTGTTGTATTCTATATAATAGTTTCATTATTAACAATGTCAGTGGTACCCTTATGTATGTTGGTGGTACTCTTTTGTATTTCAGTGTTACCCTTGGATAATAATGTGTAGTATAATCCTGTAACATTAATAAGGGAAAATCTATCTATAAATCTACCTATTAGTTGTTTTTGGTTCTAAGAATGGGGTATGCATGTTAAATTTAATGGATTTAATTTGTAATGTATGGAGTCTAACGGTGCAGTTATATTGTTTAAAGGACTAAAATTGGGTTATTTGTAATTGGTTCATATTTTTAAAAAAAATGCTCTAAACATCGATTGACTCTACTTGGTTTTGTATCGTTAGCAAGTTGAATGAATTGCAGTAAGTTATTAAGTGTTATATCATAAATAAGTTGGGTAATCTAATATAGTCCAATCGGTTCCTTTATATAATGTGATTATGTCCCTATATTTTTTTGCCCCATTTCACTTTTCAACTTTGTGATTTAACAAATTTTACTTTTTGAGTTTAACATGAAACAAAAATTATAAAAAAAAATAAAATAAAAAATAAAATAAAAAAAATTTCTATGATAGCATACACAATAATTAATTGAACATTAGAGTGTGTGCAGGTTGTTGTTATTTGGAATACTAAGCATTTAATAAAGACCTTAAAATATCTTTTTTCATAGGAATTTACTGTAGTGGTGGTACCCTAGTAGGTCCCAAAGGTACCCTCGTGGATGCCAAGTGTACTTTTGTTTTACTCAATGATGTCTGTGTTTGAGTTGTACCCTATGATATTATAATGGAACCCTTTTAGTATGCAGTGATACCATTGTGACATTAAAGGGTACTTAGTTCTTATCTACCATTTGCTCTTGTATTTTGAATAATAGTTGAATCAAATATAATATCAGTGGTACCCTTATGTGATTTAATGGTACTCCCTCCGTGTTTTAATAAGTGTTACAGTTTGACCAAACACGCATGCCGAGACACGACTTTGACCCTTAATTTATCTAATTGTATGTTAGTAAAATCATAGGAAATTTTATAATATGAAAGTATACATTACAACGATTCCAACAAAGTATTATACAATAACATTTGTTTTTTATATATTAGTAAATTAATCAAGTCAAAACCATTATGTGAATAATTAAAAAAGTCTAACTTTAACACTTATTAAAACACGGAGGGAGTACCCTTTTGTATCAAAAAACCTATAATAAGTAATCTGTTGGGTTTTTGGTGTCCGACACCGCGCGGAAACAAAACCCGCAAAAGGATCACATGCATAATAATTACAACTAAACAATATAACATATAATTAATGAAAGCATAAACACATAAACGGAAGAGAAAGAAAGTAAGGATGAGACTAGCTCAACCTTGACGCGTGCTTCTCACGAACCCTGAGCACGAACACGGAAAACCTCAAGACCCGCAAGTGCAAGCCCTCCTTCGTCTCACACCTTCGCGCCCGAACTGGCCCCTACCTCGTAGCTTAGACGTGGCTAGACCAAATAAAACTAGAGTATTACGAACTTAAGGCTTTCCCACTCTTTTGGGAGATACCTTTTGAGTTCAACTCAAGTGAGTAATCCCATTACCTAAGGTGGGTATTTATAGGGAAATGCTCCCAAAAGTTTCCATCAACTTTCCATGTGGGAAAGTTGTTGAAATGAGAAAATGAATAATTAATTAGTTCTAAATTAAATTAATAATTACAAATCAATTAGCAAACAACAAGTGGCAAGAGGAGAAGGGGAGGGTAGGTGAGGACAACAAGAGAGGACCACACCTCCCTTGCTCCCTAAGGCAATGCCTCACCAACTGGCCTAATTGCACACGGCCAGCTGGTGCCCAACATTGGGCGCCAAGGCGCGCCTTGCTAGTGACCTGGTAGCAAGCGAGCGGCCCAGCCAACGAGCCTCGCACGCAATGCGGACTGCTACGCTGGGTGCTGCACCTGCCAGAAAGGCCCAGCACGCCTTGCCGGCTGCTGGCCTTGCTGGCGTGGCTTGCTCGCATGGCAGCTCACCCAGCCAATGCATGCGATGCATGCTGGGCTTGCGGCAAGCAACCCGACTAGCCATGCTATTATCCCACCTAGCCCTCGCATGGCTAGGCCATTGCGAGGTTAGGACTTTCGTGCGCGTTGACTTGTTGTTTGACTAATTTCTCGTATCGTCGATTGCATAAATTGACTCAACGTTCGACGCTCAGCTTTGACGCTTTAATCTTGGAAGCCGACGTTTAAGTTCGTAAAATCTCTATTGACGTATTTAATCCTTCGGATTAATTCGTCGCCTTTGATCGGTTACACGATTGGGTGTGACCCGAAGGGTTCAGTCAAGAGAAAGTTGTAATATCAATTATACATTAATATTACTGATCGAAAGCGGCCTCCAGCTAGGCATTCCGATCACTTAACCTCACTAAATAATTAGTTTTCCTAATTAATTCCGAACCCGCTATCGGAATAATGTACTTGTTTGAAGGACACTGTTCCTTTCATAATCAAATGATATATTACATAAATAAATTGTGCCATTTATGAGTAATCAGATGATATATTACATTAATAAATCGTGACATTTATGAGTAATCAAATAACATTTATTCATTTTGTTCTAGGAAAAAAAGTAAGTTAAAAATAGTGATTGAATAATGCATAATTGGTCAAAGTGATTTTCCAAGGAAGCGATCATGACATTTTTTTTTACTCCCTTCGTATTTGAATAAATAAAGTGTTTTGACCTTTTGCACTATTCATCTAATTTACTTTGACTAATGTTTGTAATTGTACATAAGAATAAATATGGTCATGTGGGTACTTAATGGAATCGTCTAATTGTTATAATTTTTAATTATTGTTGATAATTAAAGATATTTTTAGTCAAAGTTTTGATTGGCATACGTGAACAAGGGAAATGTTTCACTTAATATTTTAGGATTCCACTTAAACATTATAGGGTTCCACTTAAACGTTGTAGGGTTCCACCGAATTGAAACAAATAAGGGTATGACTCTATAGGGTAAATTGCAGGGTTACACTCACACAATGAAGGGATCCATTAAAACAATGTAGCGTTCCACCGAAACAATGAATGGTTCCACTTAAATAATGTAGGGTTCGATTGAAACAATGAAGGATACAACTCTTCGATTATATTTGCAGGGTTATACTTGTACAATACAGGGTTCCACTAAAATAATGTAGGGTTCCAATGAAACAATAAAGGGTCATGATCAAGTTTATTACACATAGATAATATACATAGCCTTCTTGAAGCTGCATTTAACATCATCAAGTTCACAGAATTGTCCAAAAAAACCAAAGATAACCACGGGCACTTTGTTTGTATCGTTGAAGTCTGCTTAGTTCCTATCTATCGTTGGAAAGTTGAGTGAATCATAAATAAGTTGGGTTAACTCTAATCTAATATAGTCCGATCGGTCTTTCATATAATTTAGTGACTTATATTTGTAATAACAACCTTGGCATAGAACGTACATAGTTATAACGTATACAATTTTATAGTGTTCACTTACATTTATAACTTCTACTTAGAGAGACAGACAGAGAGAGAGAGAGAGAGAGAGAGAGAGAGAGAGAGAGAGAGAGAGAGAGAGAGAGAGAGAGAGTGGTTAGGATTTGCCTTTCGATTCAGATCGATTCTCATCATCACCTGCTTTCGTGGTTTTTTCTGATTAAATAACTTCTACTTTTTGATATAATTACTACTCTACTTTTTTTACTTTACCATGAAAGAAAAATCATTAAATTTTATGATAGCATACAAAAAACTTATTTTCACATTAGAGTGTGTGTAGACACTTAAAAATGTCTCCCCAAAACCAAACCCAATGATTAACAACCTTTCACCGCCATTATTGGTCGGGTCGAGTATTTAATCTCGTGAGTGCTTAAAATCCATATTCAGTCAAATTTACTCAATCTACAAATCAGTCCAAACATTTATTCAAACTAAGTCTAACCCATATTTCAACCTAAACCATTTTAATCCGTTTTGTTTTATTTATTAGTAAAGCCCGATTAATAAAATAATAAACCCTAAGCCTGAAATAAGTCCATAATAGCTGAAACGACGCCTAATTATCATGTGCTTAATGTTTAAGAAAAAGATAAAATGAATTTAGAATGAATTCAGGAAAACTGATTTGCTGCGTCACGGAAAATTGCGTCGTGACACGGTATAAGATATACCATGTCGTGGCAGCTGTGGCACGGAATTTTTAGGTTTAATTTCTTTGCGGCACGGTTCCGTGCTGATTTTACCAGTTTCAGACCACCAACACACATTCTAATCTCGCTCTCTTATATTCTAAGCTATAAACCTATTCTCCTAAT